GGCACTGACAAACTATAGCCCAAGCGCCAAATCCATATCTCCATCTGTGATTGTAAATAAAATGTTATTGGAACACAACCACTCCCATTCATTTTACATGTTGTCTATGACTGTTTTCTCAATGCTTTGCCAGCGCTGAGTAGCCGCAGCAGAGACTCTATGGCTTAAAACATTTACTATCTGGTGCTTTATATACACTGGTAGAGTATGCACACTGTTCTACCATCTGCTTTTTCATTTAAAAACAGCCATTCATTAAACATCTAGATCTACTTCTTTCTTCATAGTGGTGAAGAAATATTTCATTGTTCATTTAAACAAATTTCCAGAATTTGTTTAACCTGTCTTTTAAGTTGTTTCTGGTCTTTGCTATTGTAAAAGATATGTGCACGCATTTGTGCAAAGTACATTTGTTGGATCAGCTTTTACAAGTGAAATTACTGAACAAAAGTTATGTGTCTGTCATCTGTGAACTATTTTGTGGCAAAACTGCTGTAGAATCGAATCAATGCCTACTTCTTTTGTTCTCCCTTCTGTTTAGATAATGTTGGGCAGAAAAAGATAGCCAAAGATTTATGAATGAGATAATAAATATAATAAGTCATGTGGTGTGATGGATCAATTTTGTGTGGCCTTTCTCACTATGGTCTTGTAACTCCCACCCTTTGGGAGAACTGTGCAAATAGGGTAATTGTAGCCTACCAAGGGGATTAATTAATTTTGCCATCCCACTGGGCTTGAAAGGAGCCATCCCAGAGGCAGGAAGTAGAGGGTTCCACCACCAGCAAGGAAGGACAGCCAGGAGCAGAGCACATCCTTTGCACCCGGACTCCCTGCACTGAGTAGCTCCTGGAACCAGGAGATTGAGGGAGAGAGAGCTGTAACACTGAAGACAGCAAGATGTGGTGGCAGAGAAACAGTGGCAATGGTGGCAGGAAAGACCAGCAGGAGAGACTGGCAGGAGATGGCATGGTGCTCTTCCTTGTCGCGGCGGCGACGGTTGTTGGGGCAGTGGAGACAATAACCAATGCCACAACTCTTACAGAGAAGTGGGGCCAGGAGGGTCACTCTGAGGAGTCGAACCCAGCTTCAGTCCCAGGAGTTTATTTTATAGTCAATACAGCAAACAGTGAAGCAAATAACAGAACAATGGGCTTTGGGTGAATTAACAGTAAGTTCCGGGCAAGGGAGGAGGAATTCAGGTAAACAAGCCAATCAGTAACGGGTTTGGAAAAACAAGTCATGACAAGTCTCAACATGCTGTGCAGCATAGAGGCCTTTATACATCCATATTTTAATGGCACATATCCCCACATTTCCCCCCTTTTGTTTAGTTAATGGAATAAGAATCAAGAGGATTTTCACTGGTCCAACAAATGCCCGTTAGGATAAAGTAAAATTTTCTCTAGGAGATAAAGTCCAAGATTATCTCCGCTACTGTCTCCACACCTCAGGGCCTGGCGTCTTAGTGAGTCCTTGTGAGCCCAGCTACAGCTGGGGCACACTCCATATGTTTAAGGAGGAGAAGTAGCATAGCTATGAGTAACACCTAGACTTAGTTGCTCCTAGATGGCGGCCATTGCAGGCTCTTTAAACTCACAGTGCTGGTTTTCTACCGGATACCATCTGGTTCTTCACCAGGTTGTTACTTAATGCCTGGGCTTAGTGATCTTAGATGGCGGCCACTGTAGGCTCTTTAAACTCACGGTGCTGGTTTTCCACCAGATACCATCTAGTTCTTCACCAGGTTACTAAGCAAGAGCATTGCTCTTATTAGACGCAAAGTTGGAGCGGGGGACTCAATTTGCCTTTCAGGTGTGTAAGACAATAGAGGATGATCTTATGAGGATAATACAATCCTCTGCACTAGTAATATCCTGATTGTTGGACCCATGGGTTTCCTCTGACTCTCATTTTGTAAGTTACACACTAACTTTTAACATTCACTAAGATTATTATTCTTAAAGGCTCAAAGATTTATAAAGGCTCAAAGATTCATTAACAATCAAACAAGCAATGATTTACACAGCTTCACTATTACTTGGAATCACTAGGAAGGGCAATTTACACATCATAACAAATGTTCATTAGGAAATTAATTACACATCATAACAAATTTAACAATCAAACACTGATTTACACAAATTTACTATCAATTGGAAAGGAATCATCTAACTTAGAAATCTATCTATACAGAAGCATCTAATCTAGAAGAAGCAGAAAATATAGAGGAATTTACACATAACAAATTTTCATTGGGAACTTACTGATTAACAAATTATTAACAAGATAATATAGGATGACTATTGAGAATAGATTGTCATGAGGGAAACCATAGCTAGAAACAGGTTTTCAGGTGTAAGTGGGGCACCTGTAGTTGAGAGGATATGCTCAGCTTTGGAGGAGAGGGCTTTCAGACCTCCCCATGTTACCAGTATTGCAGTTGTTCAGTGTTCATCCCCGGGGGAAGGGGTGATTTCGGGTCGGATGGCAGCACTTCAGTGTTCATCCTCGGGGGAAGGGGTGCCGGTGTCAGTTGCGGCTCTGGAGTCGGATGGCAGCCACCGAAGGGGTGGTGGCGGCGGTTCAGAGAAGGGAAGGGGCGGAAGTGCAGGGCAGAGTGTGCCGGCGCGTGGGGGAGCCGCAGCGCAGGGCGCGTCCGGGACCCCTAGTCACGGCCGGAGCGCAGAGCCCGCTCTCGCCTGCCCAGAGCCTCCAGACGGGGTCGTCCCAGACGGCGACACCCCAGGCAACTGGGCCGGCAAGCCCAGGCAGCGGCAACCCGGGACTGGGCTTGGAGCCCCACGGGAGGGATGGAGCATGGGCCGCGCTGCAGCCGGAGTGGAAATCCAAAGTGGACCTGTAGGAGACAAAACAGCCACATACCCTCACCCCCAGATTAGTAATTCTACAGGTCCTTGCCAGACAGAGAGATTTTGAGGATCTTTATAGAGGACCTGTGGGCGAGGTCAGGTGTCAGAGGGGATAAAATGTCGTTCTGCAGCAGTACGACCATCTTTAGCAACTGATAAAAAGTTAAAAGTAAAGAGAGCTTTGGCAAGTCTTTCATTTTGGTCAAATAGTCTAGACCCATCATCTCCCCCCTTTTGTTTATTCAAGAGCTGTTTGAGAGTATGATGGCATGTTCAATTATGGCTTGCCCTTGAGGGTTATAAGGAATGCCAGTGGTATGAAGAATATCCCAAGTGGCACAAAATTGTTGAAATTTAGCAGAAGTATATTCAGGGTCATTATCAGTTTTAAGAGCTTGGGGACATCCCATAGTTGCAATGGCTTGGGTGAAATGACGACAGGCATGAGTAAAACGTTTTTCCAGAAAGGGCTGTAGCATAGAGAAATCCAGAATATATTAGCCAAATGAAAGCCTTTACTACAGCGGGGACACTGTGCCTTTAAGAGAGCTAAAACAGCCCAACAGTCAGCATTAGTATTTTCACAAGCAAGCTGGAGACAAAGAACTTCAGCTGCTTGATGATTGTCTACCTGTCAGGAAATGGCAGATTCAATGAAAAGCAGAAGTTGGGTAAGGGCTTCTTCTGACACCTTAAGCTTAGAGGCCTTTAACAATCCCAACAACTGGGTTTTGTGTTGACGCTGCTCAGGAGAAAGAGAATTCCCCATAGCGAGGAGGAATAGGAAAATGAAGGAAAGAATGATAGGAAAGCTTCTGGCCTGAAGCCTGAAATCCCTTGGGAGCCATCAGGAAAGACCTGCCACTGTGGGGCTAAAGCAGCCTGATCTGAGAGCGTTCGGGAAAATTCCGCCCGTGGAAAAACCCTGCCGCTCTCGGGCTGTGCCTTTAAACAGCCTGAAACGGACATCCGATACTCACCACCTAAAGGGATTGAGTGCGAGGGCGCCTATGCAGCTATACAGCGGTCTGCCGTCACACGAGGTACCATCTGGGAGAGAATAACCAATACCACAACTCTTACAGAGAAGTGGGGCCAGGAGGGTCACTCTGAGGAGTCGAACCCAGCTTCAGTCCCAAGAGTTTATTTTATAGTCAGTACAGCAAACAGTGAAGCAAATAACAGAACAATGGGCTTTGGGTGAATAACAATAAGTTTCAGGCAAGGGAGGAGGAATTCAGGTAAACAAGCCAATCAGTAATGGGTTTGGAAAAACAAGTTGTGACAAGTCTCAACATGTTGGGGACAAGTCTCAACATGCTGTGCAGCATAGAGGCCTTTATACATCCATATTTTCATGGCACATATCCCCACACTTCCTGGCCCACAGAGTGAGAATGCTGAGTACCTTCAGGCAAGAGAATTGCTAGAGGAGTAGTGTGCTTCCGGGCACTTGGTGGGGTTGGTTTGCTGACACTCAGAGCTAAAGCTGAGTGCCTTTGGGCCAAGCCTTACCGGCACAGTGGGGTGCCTTTAGGCACTTATCGGCAGGGCTAAAAGAGCTTTGTAACACTTGCCTGAGCAGGGCAGAGGCCGAGGGTCAGAGAGAAGTGTGCTTTCGAGTATACCTGGGAAGATGTTGTCCTGCTGAGAGAACTATATCCTGAGCATTCCTGAACCGGAATTATAACCGGTTACTTCCCTAATAAACCCTATAATCATGAGTATTGTCTGAGTTCTGTGTGGCCAGTGCAATGAATTATTGAACCTAGCAGAGAAGTAAAGATTGCCATGATAGTTGGTGTCAGATTTGGTAAAGATGGTGGAGAAAGGAGACATGTTTGACCTCTGCCTCATAGGAATCAGCCTTGGCCTGTTGATCTTGATTCTCCTTCCCCTTGTGAAGTCAGAGGAAGTCAGACTCTGCTCCTACGATGTTTTTACACTATAATGGGGTAAAAACTCTGTGCAAAAAAAAAAAAAAAGGAAGTAAATTTAAAATACATGTTCATACAAATCAAATAGGCAGGACTAATGAAAATTATACAACATGGAAAGGAGTTAAGGGAAAATAGAACACTCTATTTTATGATTCTCTGACAAAGAAAATCACCCACATTTTGCCAAATTTGTGTTATATAACCAGTTAAGTAAGGGTTTCAAGTATAGGTAAATAAGTCTTTAGTTGCAGAATCTCAGAGACAGGCTGTGCTTTTTCCTGATAAAAGTCAAGTCCAGTAAGAAGTTCCACATCACGGACCCGGGCAATGTGTGCATTCCATCTTTCTTCAGTCCAAACAGCTTCTGGCCTACCTTCCTAAAAAAGAGAAACACAGGCCTGTTTTCCACAGGGCATGATTTTCATGAAGAGAAAGCTCTTTTATTACTTAAAAGCTGTCCTTTTCTCTGCCATTTCTATTGCCTTGAATTATAATTTGATACAGCAAAGTTTGGGGTTTATTAAAAAAATAAAAATAAATGTACAAAGTGTAGTGTAACAGACATATACCATCACAAAGTCATAAAGTTTAGCTATTTTTATGTAGTCTTCAGATATGTATTTTAAAGAAATAAAATATTACAGATGAACTTTAAATCCCCAATGTTTCTCTGTTCAGAGCTAATCATTATCATGAACTGGTGTGTACCTAGTATGTTTTTTAAAACTTTTACTGTACATCAATATGCAATAAACCAAAAAAAACAAAAAACAAAAAAACCCACCATTATCATAGAGTCAGTTCTGACTGATGGCAATCCCCTGTGTTAGAGAATAAAACTGGTCCATAGGATTTTCTTGACTGTAAGCAGTCAGGCTGGCCTTTCATACTTGACACCACTGGATGGGTTTGAACTGCCAACCTTTAGGTTAGTAGTCAAATGTAAACAGTTTGCACCACCCAGGGGCCTTCAGTGTACAATATGTACTATTATTTTATGAGTTTTCAAGTTTATATAAATGATACAAGTGGTATTCTACAATTATTTTTTCATTCAGAATTACATCTGTGATCTAGCCATAGTGAAGTATCTAGATCTACTTAAATTATTTTTTTAAGTTGAGTGTTGTGATATTCCCTCACTTAAATGCAGCACCATTCATTTTTTTCATTGTCATATTGATAGTTTTACTACTACGAATAATACTGTAATAAATAACTTGGGCCTCCATAAGATGGACTGACACAGTGGCTGCAACAGTGGGCTCAAGCCTAACAATGATCGTGAGGATGGCACGGGACCAGGCAGTGTTCTGTTCTGTTGTACACAGAGTCGTTATAAGTCAGAACAAACTCGACGGCACCTAACAACAACATGCCTCCTTTGTTCAAGTGCATGAGTTTCTAGGATATAGAAATGGAATTGTTGGGTCATAGAAAACATTGCAACTTTAACTTTACCAATTATTAACTTCTCTCTTTTTTTTTTAACTAGTTGCCATGGAGTTGATTCCAACTCATGATGACCCCATGTGTTTCAGAGTAGAACTCTGTTCCCTAGGGTTTTCGATGGTTGATTTTTTAAAAGTAGATCACCAGTTCTTTCTCCTGAGGCACCTTGGGTGGACTCCAACTTCCAGTCTTTCAGTTAGCAGTCTACTTCATTAACCTTTTGCACCACCTAGGGACTCCAGGTATTAACATAGTCCTTCTCAAACGGTTTATACCAATTTACATTTCTATAGGCTGAGGAGGATAATTACCATTTCCCCACATCCTTGTCAAACCCATGGGTGTGAAACAGTGTTATATCCTGGTTTAAATTTTATTACCCCAAGTATTATTACAATTTAGTAGTGTCTTTTTTATTTCTTGGGCATTTGCGTTTTAATAAGATTTTTACAACATAAAAATTAGTTCAATAATTTAGAAACATGGGTTTCTCTGACATTCTTTATTGTATATTTATTTTATGCTATTCATATGACATTGCTAATTTTCAGTTAATGTTAACAAAGTGAAAAATTTTATTAGATGAGTTTTTTAATAATTCACATTTGACTTTGGCACAGTGGTACTTGTTTTTTAAATATGCAGACTTAAAGTAACTAGTCGCTGTGAGCCAGAGGAAGTGTAAGAGGAACTTACTTTTTGTTCCTAACCACCAAGGCATTTCCCTATGTGACACATTCATGAAGGGAGTTAACTATTTTTTAAAACAAATAAATATGCAGTGTGCAAATTTGAGCTCATTTTACAACTGGGAATCTAGTTCAAAGTCTTTTTTTTCCCTGCCTTTACTCTTTCACATTTCAACGGCATTTAATATTTTGATCACTTTTTTTGTAAAGTTTTCTCCCACTTGGCTTCCACGGAGCCCTAGCAACGCGTTGGTTAAGCGCTTGGCTGCTAACAAAAGGTTGGTGCTTTGAACCCACCAGCGCTTCTGTGGTAGAAAGATGTGGCAGTCAGCTTCCATAAAGATTTACAGCCTTGGAAAACCTATGGGGAAGTTCTACTCTGTCCTACAAGGTCACTATGAGTTGGAATCGACTCTACAGCAATGGGTTTGGTTTTGGTTTTTGGCTTCCGTGACTACTGTCTTCTGGCTTATTTGGGATCCTTTCAACTAAATGTTTACTGAACACCTAACATTCTTCCCTCTTTTAAAATTGCTGTTAAATGACCAAAAAGTACAATACATGACTATACCTACACAGGGGTGATACTCAAACCAGTATGAATTGAAGCCAGCTACAGACAGCTTCTCTGCATCCCAGCAGGGTATCAGCCGTGAACATAGAGCTATATTTAAATGTATAGTTTTTATAAAATAGGATACATACAGATCTGTTTTATGTGAATAGACTTCTTATATATATATACCCCCAAAATACGATCACCTTGTTATTTTTTGAGACGATTTATCAGTTTCAATACTTTTCTCCCCTTACCACTTCCTTATTCTCTCTCTTTAATCATTTCCAATGTCGTTCTTGCTGCTACCACACTAATGACACTGTTTCGTCTAGGAGGACCTTACTGACAGTGATTTCCTCAGACCTTTGACTTAGTTAATCACTAATGCTTCCAAAACTTCGTCTTTTGTTTTCTATAGCTATACTAACTGCTTACTTGTTTGATGACACCTTCTGTCTCTTTCTGCCCTGGGAGTACAGACATCTCCCTCAATTTGACCTTTGGGTCTCTTCTCACCACTTAATCACCTTTGTCAATTTTATTTTACTCCCATGATTTAATATCAAATCTGTATCTACAGTTCTGATTGTTCTTCTGAGTTCCATACCTGCTAGTAATTTACAATAACGATAGTCACTAGGACTCATGCTACATTCTCATTTATCTGACATGAATTTAGCTATACAAAGTTGAGGGAAAAAGAAAAAGGAAAAGTAAGGAAGGAAAAAAAGATGGAAGCAGGAAGAAAATATATAAGTAAATACAAATCTAGTGCCCTAGGTTGAGTGTAAGGTGGAATTTGTGAATCTGCCATTCCTACAGCTGGTTTCAGCTCCCTCAAACCTCTTAGAGTGTGAGTACCTCCCCACACTGAGTGATTAGAGTATTTAAAACCAGTTATCATGGAGTTGACTCCGGCTCATGGCGAACTCACGTGTGTCAGAGTAGAATTGTGCTCCATAGGATTTCCCAATGGCTGATTTTTTTTTTCCCCCGGAAGTAGATTGCCAGCCTTTATGAACAGCTTCTCTTTTGCCAAAAAGCCAGAAGAACTGAATGCTGCCTGGCTACCATTACTGAGCATTTTGATCAAAGATTCCATAGAAGAATCCTGATCAAAACAGGGAAGATGCAGAACAGAATTTCAAATTCTCATGGACTCCAGACTTCCTAGAGCCATGAAGGTTGGATGAACGCTTGAAATTATTTCCATGAGATAATGTTTAAAACTTAAGCCAAAAATACCTCTTGAAGTGTTCTCAAAACCAAACAATAGTTTAGCTTAACTAATAAAAAAGGTCTGCCTTGAGCATTATACTCTTTTAAGAACTATCTATATGGGATCAAATTGACAACAGCAACCTGAAAGATTAATTACGAACTTTACAGGGTAGTGAGTTTATGTTAATGAGGGAGGAGCATCTCAGAAAAGGAATGTGAGAATGGTTGCACAACTCAAAGAATGTAATCAGCATCACTAAATTGTACAAGTAGAAACTGTTGAATTAGTGTATGTTTTCCTGTGTATATGCTCAACAACAGCAACACAATAAATAAAATTCAGGAAAGAAGAAAGTAGATTGCCAGGACTTTCTTTTGAGGCACCTCTGGGTAGGCTCAAATCTCCAATCTTTTGGTTAGCAGTTGAGAGTGTTAACCATTTATACCACCCAGGGACTCCTAGAGTATTTAGAAGGGTAGAGTTTTCACCTAACGTGGCTCTTAAAGCAAGCCAAGTACTTCATCAGGTGTTTAAAGAAAGGCACAATTTTCTATTCCAATGCTAGTGCAAAATTGGCTGGTTTTGGCTCCCTGAGGGACTGAATTGCTGGGCAGAGGACTGTGGGCACCATAGTCTCAGGGAACATCTAGCTCAATTGGCATAACAGTTAAAGAAAATGTTCTGTATTCTACCTTGGTGAGTAGCATCTGGGGTCTTTTTAAAAGCCTGTGAGCAGCCATCTAAGATACTCCACCAGTCTTACCCCTTTGGCGGCAAGGGAGAATGAAGAAAACAAGATACAAGGGAAAGATTAGTCCAAAGGACTAATGGACCACAACTACCACAGCCTCCACCAGACAGTCCAGTACAACTAGACCGTGCCCGGCTACAACCACTGACTGCTCTGACTGGGATCACAACAGAGGGTTCTGGACAAAGCTAGAGAAAAATGTAGAACAAAATTCTAATTCACAAAAAAAGACCAGACTTACTGGCCTGACAGAGACTGGAGAAACCCCGAGAGTACGGCCCCCGGACACCCTTTTAGCTCAGTAATTAAGTCACTCTTGAGGTTCACCATTCAGCCAAAGATTAGATAGCCCCATAAAACAAAACAAGACTAATGGGGCACAACAGTCCAGGGACAAGGACTAGAAGGCAGGAGGGGACAGGAAAGCTGGTAATAGGGAACTCAAGGTTGAGAAGGGACAGTGTTGACATGTGGTATGGTTGTTAACCATTGTCATAAAACAATATGTGTACTAACTGTTTAATGAGAAACTATTTGTTCTGTAACCATCTAAAGTACATAAAAAAATAAGAATTAAAAAAAAATTGGCTCATTTTGGGCTTATTAAGGAATAGTTTATGTATATACTATACTTTTTGGCTGGTTTTATTATAGGGGATTTTATACAATTGTATTTGATTTACTGACTTTAGAATGTAACTCTATCATCACAAAGTAGGCTGGCAGTTTTTTGGGGGTAATCGGAAGTTTTGGGGTAGATAATATGAGAAAAGAAACTTTATTTTAAGACGAGCAAATTGATGGTAGTGTACAGAGGTGAAGGGGAGGAGGACAGGAAACAGGGAAGCTACTTAAGATTCATTTTCAAGAGTCATGAGAGAGGGTCACAAGGGTCTACACAAGAGATAGCAAATAGTTTCCTCTTTGCATGCCAAAGCTAATCATCCATAATGGCCACCTAGTACCTCTGTGATCAACAACTATTTAAAACCGGTTCAGTAGTAAAGAGTATCACACAATATCAGTTACCAATGTCTGCATTTAGAAGAGGAAGTGAAGGATGGTGGTTTCTCTCAAAGTGCTGATAGGAAAAGTAGGGATTCAATTGACAACATCTCCTCACAGATTCTTGTTTGGAAATTCTTCTTCCTCACTCTAGGAGTATGAGTGACCTACTGCTCACTGCTAAACTTTGACCTCCATCTTTAATCACTGAAATACCATTCATATACTCAAGTTCAGATCTTATCTTCAAGATTCAGCTAAAAGAAATCCCACAGCAATTATCTGTCCCTCTCTTGTACCATTTATCTGTTTCTTCTGATATGTGAGCCCCTTTTGATAGAGTTCATGTCTGATGTATCTGTGCACCTTCCATTATACATAGTATGGTGAAGGTAGTCAATCTGTTGAACACCTGAAAAAATATAGATGAATTGCAATCTGGCCTAGAACCTAAGCTTTAATTTCCAGTCCCTAATAGTTTATGGGACTTTCCATGTGAACACCCCATTTCCACAGCTTGACATGCTTAAATTTAACTATCCTATTTACCTGCCAAAACAGTTCTCATTCCTAACTTCTTTCTTTTTGACTTTTCCCTAAATACCTACATTTAAAATGTCTGATTTATCTTTAAGCCTCTCTTTTCCTTTGGCTCTTGCATCCAGTCACTTACCAAATCCTCCCCATTCTTCACGCCTTTTAAGGAAGCTGCTTCTTAGTCCTCAACTTATTAAAATTATGTCCATCTAAGTTCCGGCAAAATGGCGCTCTAGGCAGAAGCACCACGCTGTCCCTCCACAGCAAAGATCTGAAACACTAAGCTGAACAGAGAATACAACAATCCTGAAACCCTAAAACATCAAATGAAGAGATAAAGAACTCAGCCAAGCACCAAATGGGGTGAGAAAACTGACAGAGAACAGAGAGCAAGGAGAGATTCATGCAGAGGTCCCCTACCAGCTAACACAGCGTGGATCCGCCATCTTGGACTCCTATCAGAGACCAGCAAACGGGGTACGAGAAAGCAGCCTCACGGAGCTTCCAGCGGGAGACGAAACAACCAATAATTGGCAATATATACTTTCCCACCCCCCACCCTTCTCCACCCCGACTCGGCCTCCTCTGCTTCCCGCGGCCACCGTCTCTTGACCGGGGAACAGCGGCTGCTTGGATTCCACACACCCGAAGGGGTGGCTGTCTGAGTGCCATTTGTTGGCTGCTGGTGTTGCTTTTTTTCCACTTCTTTTTATTTCTAACTTGCCTCTCCCCACCTCCCCGTCCTTTAGCTCAAGTACCTCACTCTATGCGCCATCTTTGCTTCTTCCTGAGGGGCTGCAGAGCTCTGGTAATTTGTGACATACGCTTTCCCACTCTCTACACTTCTTCACCCACACTCGGCCCCCTCTGCATCCCACGGACACAGTCTCTTGTCCAGAAACACCAGCCCGCACTAACTGGCTCTCTGAGTGCCATTTGTTGGCTGCTAGTGTTGCTTTTTTTTATTTCTGCTTCTTTTGACTTCTTACTTGCCTCTCGCCACCTCCCCCTCCCTTCGCTCAAGTACCTGGCTCCGTGCACCATCTTTGCTTCTTCCTGAGGGGCTGCAGAGCTCCATTCAAGTGTGGAGCTGCTTCCCAGTTTGGACTGCCGCGCTGGTGGGATCCCGCGGCTTTTGTTCGTTTGTTTGTTTTGAATTGTTTGTTTTCATTTCCTTTTCTTGAGTTGGGAGCCCTTTCCGGCCAGGCTGTGCTGCGTGGCAGGGAGACGCCCCTCTGGCTTCCACAGACGTGCAGAGGGATCCCTGAGAGCATTTCTTTTTACATTGGTTTTTTTTTCTTTTTTCTGTTTCTTTGGGGGCCTTTCTTGTTTTGTTTTGTTTTTTTTAATTTTTTGTTTTCTTTTTCCTCTTTTTCCCTTTTTGTCTTTCTTCATTGCTCAGTTTCTCGTCTCTCTATATCCTCCTTCTCTTTCTGTTCCATGAATACCTGGCGTTGTATACCTCTGCGCCTTCTAGCCAGGCTGTACTTCAACACCTGAGAGCGACTTCCCCAGACCTCATAGCTGCACCGGTGGGATCACTGGGAACTTTGCGGTTCTTTAACCTTTCTGATTTTTATTTATTCATTC